CTTTCAATTTAAGTGGAAGTGAGTCCAATTCCTTTATACTCCTCGAACCAAATCTGTTCTTTGTATTTTTTGAGTCTCAATTTTGCTCATTCGCACATGAGTTGTGTGATCGCAATGCTCATGGGTAGAGCGAGATGTAAGAGTCCTGATCAGAATGGAGGCTTATCAATCATCCTCCTCTTTCGAGACTTTTTTCTGTAAACAATGACAGACTTATGCCACTTTTGTCCTTGGACTACGAAATAATAGCTAAAGTAGCAGTATCAAAAGTCAAGATAAAAAACTGCTGTTAATGCTTGCTTTTAAAATAGTCTAGGAAGATAAATCTTATAGTAATTGTATTCATTCAATTTCGTTTAGGGTGATGAAAGACTGGTAGTTGCTCTCACAATCCTATGAGTAGGTCTCGTGTTTCTATTTAATGCCACATAGCCTTGCTTCCCAAAAGATATGACTATGCAATTTCAACCTTGCATAGATCTCGTCAGCACCCTCAGGGGGATTTGAACCTGAATAGTGCAGTTAGAAGTCTGGAACCATTAATTACCCCAGTTCACCATGGATAAGCATATCTTTTGTGAAACAAGACTATGTAAAATGCAATTAAAACATAATTCCTACTCATGTCATTATGGGAGAATTCAACTACCAATCCTTTATCGACTTAAAAAAAATAAGGTGAATACAGCTCTTATATCAGATATACTGGTAGCCTTAAAACCTATTAACAAGAGAAATTTTTGTGCTCGACTTTTAAAAGAAGAGTCAACATGTCGCTCCATGTCCCTGGATCTATCAGTACAACTTCTGTCCTTCTGATTGCCTACCTGTGACTTGATTGGCAACTGCTGAAAACAAGGCAACGCTTTGGCCCATACAATGATCAAATTGAGCTGCATCTTCATCGACTGGCATATGTCTGCCAGATTAGCAAGTCGATGTCCTGCTCGGCTCAGTAGGTTGGTACCGTTTCCAAGGGCGTCGGTTGCTCCAAGAGGGCAAGTGGCCGTCAGAGTGTCACCATCACATTCGGGCCCTGTTGTATTCGTTCGAGCCTCCTTCTTTACCGGATGCTCTGAGTCTCCACATCCGCCAACAGTCTCGGTGTCCAGTCGGGCGTCGAACCAGAGCGTTGGAGCCGGGAGGCAGGAGAACGCTTTTCGATCGGCCGAGAACCTCGTCCCACCAACGGAGCTCCAGGCGACCGCTTCGGTTGTCTCCCGGTCGTCGCCTTCTCTATCCACTCTCATTGTACTGCCGGACTCGCCCATCCGTTTTTCCGCCGGTACAGTTGCCACACGCATCCCAGCCGCTGACGTCCTACTGCCTCGTTTCAGACGACCCTTCGTCTTCGTCCCAACCGGCCACACCTTCGACTCGTTCCTGACTGAATGGCTTCTACCCGAGACCTCAGTTCCACTAGGACCCGTCTTCCAGACAGCCACCTCTTCGGGACCACACTCGCGTGTCCCAGTCGCAGAGTTCAGAGCAGAAATGAGCTCATTTTGCAAGTACCTCCCATATTCCTGGTTAGAAAAGATACGAAAAAATAGGATCAAGGATATTCATTATACTGGTCTAAACGCCTGTGACCCGGAAAATGTCAAAATGGCTGTGAGCTTGTTCGCACAGACCTCTGTACAGACCTATAGAACACACTGTTTTAAATGCAAATCATAGTTTGTGCATAGGGAACGAGTTCATACAATGAGTCAAGACTATGGCTTTACAATTTTGCCGATCTGGCTCACCTGTGCATGATTTTCAGCTTCAATCAGCTGCTCCAACGTTAGCATCTGCCAGTCGACTAGACCGCTTGGAGAATCGGACACTTCCAGTGGGCCTCTGCGTGTGCTGATCTTGTCGCGCTCGTTCTGTACAGCTAGCCAGTTCATATGGGACAGCCAGTGTACATATGCATCGGTATACGTTTGTGTTTATGTACGAGTGTGTAAGAGTATTTGTGCACTTTTATGCAGGTTTACGTGTGTTTGTGCATTTTTGGTTGTATATATGAACGTGTGTGTACATATACATGTACGTATATATATATATATATATTTGTGTGTATGTGTTAAATGTATATATTGTGTATAATCGGTAGTTAAGTTTACGGGGAGAGAGTAGTGAAAATTGTTGCAGAAATAAGGTAATTAGTATAATAATAGTTAGCAGCAATAACTTTTTCATCATATAAACAAAGAGAAAGACGAAGTCAGGTCACCTTGATTCAATGTAGCTTGGAGTCTCAGCTGAAGGGAGCAGGATTTGTGTCCCTTTATTTGGCAACTTCCGTATTACTAAGTTGCAGGCAAAGTCAAAAGTTATTATACGAAGAGTAGCTGGGTTCCGATCAATCTCCTTAGATGACATTGTTGGAAAGACTTTCATTTCGTATGGAAGCGCGGGAAGAAGAGATTAGAAGATCGATCTCACCAGAAGAGGACGGCTGATTCATGTTGTACTGTATGAAGGGCAAAGGCACAGCCCATTTGCGCCCGAAACGAGGGAGGATGTCTCGTGGACTGCGTCAGCCTGAACATAGTATTAAACCCAAACGGCTGCAGTACAACGCGACCCTCGAATCTCTTCATTATTCACTTTCATACAAAATGAAAGTCTCTCCAACAAAATTAATAGTAACAAAGGTTTGTCCTTCATCTAGTTAATGGTTAATTGTTGTTAGGGCGACTTTAATTTCGTATGAAAGTTTATGATTAAAAGATTAATCCTAAAACACATCAGAAAACGACGGCTGAATCCCATCATTCTTCAGTCGTTTAACTTTGATGCGACATTCAGATAAATGCAATCAATGGGACATCCTTTCTCGTTTTGGGCGAAAAATGGCTGCCAAATGACTGCAGT